GTATCTGGAAGTAAGGTACTACTTGTCACAAATACTTAAAAAACATGAAAGTGGTCTTGGAACCAGTTCATGGACAGAGCATTTTGAGCACTATGATATAAAAAGGTTAGTTTGTACTGAACATACTGTTGTAGAAATGAATGGTAAAGACTCTGACCAGGTAAGGAGGAAGTGAGAAGCAGGGTAGAGAAAACTTACATGTCTGAGAAAGACAGACATAACTCATCATAAAAAACGGACGGGGAAATACAGAGGTCAAAGCCCTGCTCGTGATGGCTGTGAAGGAAATGAGGTCTCTGTTAACGGACACTGGAGGAAAGAGGGCCCTTGTTACAGGGAGTAGCATTGTTAGAAGAGAAGATATATGAGAAGTTTCCAAAATAGTTGAAGACAGAAACCCAACACAATGAACCCCCAAGCAGGATAACAGAAAATCAGACACAGTTCAAACTGCTCAAAACAAGAGTCAAAAAAGAAAGGCAAGAAAATCACATGCCAACAGAATTGAAGGGAGGGGGGATTTGACAATGTAGACATCTATACTCATAAAAATACTCCTAAAAAAAAATGAAGGTGAAACAAAATCATTTCTAATTGTTTCCAGACTAACAAAAGCTGCTAAGGGAAATGATCACAGAAAATAACCAAGATCTACAGAAAGTAAATGACAAGGGAAATATGAAACAATATAGTTTTAATTTCTTCAAAAGAAAAATGACTATTGGAAACAAATATAACAATGCATTATGGGATTATGAGTTGTGGGGAAATAAAATATGACAATAATATAAAAAAGAGGTAAATAAAATTACATTATAAGAAGGTTATTAAATATTTCATCAGGTTGTGTAATATTTATCTAAGGTAAAGTGTGATAAATTAATTATGCATACTATAATCTAGAGTAACCACTTAAAAATCATTCGAAGTGGTAAAACTAAATAGCAACAGAGGAAATAAAACAGAAGACGAAAACAAAAAAAATAAAGCTCAATTTCCAAACATAGGAGTAAACAAATAAAGAATAAATGGGGAAATTGAGAAATAAAAAGATGATAGAATTAATCCCAATTATATAAACAATTAGAGTAAATCTAAGTGTATTTAACATTATAATTACAAGATAAGAGACTTTAAACTTGGGTTTAAAAAAATGGACCCAATTCTATGCTGCTAATAAGAAACACACTTTTTTTTTATTGGTTGTTCAAAACATTACAAAGCTCTTGACATATCATATTTCATACATTAGATTCAAGTGGGTTATGAATTCCCATTTTTACCCCAAATACAGATTGCAGAATCACATTGGTTACACATCCACATTTTTACATAATGCCATACTAGTGTCTGTTGTATTCTGCTGCCTTTCCTATCCTCTACTATCCCCCCTCCCCTCACCTCCCATCTTCTCTCTCTACCCCATCTACTGTAATTCATTTCTCTCCTTGTTTTTTTTCCCATTCCCCTCACAACCTCTTACATGTAATTTTGTATAACAATGAGGATCTCCTTCCATTTCCATGCAATTTCCCTTTTCTCTCCCTTTCCCTCCCACCTCATGTCTCTGTTTAATGTTAATCTTTTCCTCCTGCTCTTCCTCCCTGCTGTGTTCTTAGTTGCTCTCATTATATCAAAGAAGACATTTGGCATTTGTTTTTTAGGGATTGGCTAGCTTCACTTAGCATAATCTGCTCTAGCGCCATCCATTTCCCTGCAAATTCCATGATTTTGTCATTTTTTAGTGCAGAGTAATACTCCATGGTATATAAATGCCACATTTTTTTTATCCATTCATCTATTGAAGGGCATCTGGGTTGGTTCCACAGTCTAGCTATTGTGAATTGTGCTGCTATGAACATCGATGTGGCAGTATCCCTGTAGTACGCTCTTTTAAGGTCTTCAGGGAATAGTCCGAGAAGGGCAATAGCTGGGTCAAATGGTGGTTCCATTCCCAGCTTTCCCAGGAATCTCCATACTGCTTTCCAAATTGGCCGCACCAATTTGCAGTCCCACCAGCAATGTACAAGAGTACCCTTTTCCCCACATCCTCGCCAACACTTGTTGTTGTTTGACTTCAGAATGGCTGCCAGTCTTACTGGAGTGAGATGGTATCTTAGGGTGGTTTTGATTTGCATTTCTCTGACTGCTAGAGATGGTGAGCATTTTTTCATGTACTTGTTGATTGATTGTATGTCCTCCTCTGAGAAGTGTCTGTTCAGGTCTTTGGCCCATTTGTTGATTGGGTTATTTGTTTTCTTATTGCTTAATTTTTTGAGTTCTTTGTATATTCTGGATATTAGGGCTCTATCTGAAGTGTGAGGAGTAAAAATTTGTTCCCATGATGTAGGCTCCCTATTTACCTCTCTTATTGTTTCTCTTGCTGAGAAAAAACTTTTTACTTTAAGTAAGTCCCATTTGTTGATTCTTGTTATTAACTCTTGTGCTATGGGTGTCCTATTAAGGAATTTGGAGCCCGACCCCACAATATGTAGATCGGAGCCAACTTTTTCTTCTATCAGACGCAGTCTCTGATTTGATATCAAGCTCTTGATCCATTTTGAGTTAACTTTTGTGCATGGCGAGAGAAGGGGATTCAGTTTCATTTTGTTGCATATGGATTTCCAGTTTTCCCAGCACCATTTGTTGAAGATGCTATCCTTCCTCCATTGCATGCTTTTAGCCCCTTTATCAAATATAAGATAGTTGTAATTTTGTGGATTAGTCTCTATGTCCTCTATGCTGTACCACTGGTCCACCCGCCTGTTTTGGTACCAGTACCATGCTGTTTTTGTTACTATTGCTCTGTAATGTAGTTTGAAATCTGGTATCGCTATGCCGCCTGATTCACACTTCCTGCTTAGAGTCGCTTTTGCTATTCTGGGTCTTTTATTTTTCCATATGAATTTCATGATTGCTTTCTCTATTTCTACAAGAAATGCCGTTGGGATTTTGATTGGCATTGCATTAAACCTATAGAGAACTTTTGGTAATATCGCCATTTTGATGATGTTAGTTCTGCCTATCCATGAACAGGGTATATTTTTCCAACTTCTAAGATCTTCTATTTCTCTCTTTAGGGTTTTGTAGTTTTCACTGTATAAATCTTTCACCTCTTTTGTTAGGTTGATTCCCAAGTATTTTATTTTTTTTGAGGATATTGTGAATGGAGTGTTTTTCCTCATTTCCTTTTCAAATGCCTTTGATTTATGCGTGTTGATTTTATATCCTGCCACTTTGCTGAATCCATTTATTAGTTCTAGTAGTTTTTTTGTAGACCCTTTTGGGTCTTCTAGGTATAGAATCATGTCTACTGCAAATAGTGATAATTTAAGTTCTTCTTTTCCTATTTTTATGCCTTTAATTTCTTTCGTCTGTCTAATTGCTCTGGCCAGTGTTTCGAGAACTGTATTGAATAGATGTGGTGATAGAGGGCATCCCTGTCTTGTTCCAGATTTTAGAGGGAATGCCTTCAATTTTTCTCCATTCGGAATGATGCTAGCCTGAGGCTTAGCATAGATTGCTTTTACAATGTTGAGGTAAGTTCCTGTTATCCCTAGTTTTTCTAATGTTTTGAACATAAAGGGATGCTGTACTTTGTCGAATGCTTTTTCAGCGTCTATCGAGATGATCATATGGGTCTTATCTTTAAGTCTATTGATGTGGTGAATAACATTTATTGATTTCCGTATATTGAATCATCCTTGCATCCCAGGGATGAATCCTACTTGATCATGGTGCACAATTTTTTTGATGTGTTTTTGTATCCGATTCGCCAGAATTTTATTGAGGATTTTTGCATCTAGGTTCATTAGGGATATTGGTCTGTAGTTTTCTTTCTTTGAGGTGTCTTTGTCTGGTTTCGGAATCAGGGTGATGTTGGCCTCACAGAATGAATTTGGAAGAGCTCCCTCTTTTTCTATTTCCTGAAATAACTTGAAAAGTATTGGTATTAATTCTTCTTTAAAGGTTTTGTAAAACTCCGCTGTATACCCATCCGGTCCCGGGCTTCTCTTGGTTGGTAGTCTTTTGATTGCTTCTTCTATTTCATCCATTGATATTGGTCTGTTCAAATTGTGTGTATCCTCCTGACTCAGTCTGGGCAAATCATATGACTTAAGAAATTTATCGATGTCGTCACTATCTTCTATTTTATTGGAATATAGGTTTTCAAAATAATTTCTAATTGTCTTCTGTATTTCTGTAGCATCTGTTGTGATATTGCCTTTTTCATCCCGTATGTTAGTAATTTGAGTTCTCTCTCTTCTTCTCTTCATTAGCATGGCTAAGGGTCTGTCGATCTTATTTATTTTTTCGAAGAACCAACTTTTAGTTTTGTTAATTTTTTCAATAGTTTCTTTTGTTTCAATTTCATTGGTTTCCGCTCTGATTTTAATTATTTCTTGCCTTCTGCTACATTTGCTGTTGTTTTGCTCTTCCTTTTCTAGGGCTTTGAGATGAAGTGTGAGCTCATTTATTTGTTGTTTTTTTTCTTTTTTTGAGGAATGACCTCCTTATTTACATTTCAATTAGAAGATAGAAACTTTAAATTTGGGTTTAAAAAATGGACCCAATTCTATGCTATTCATAAGAAACATAATTTTAATATAAAGACAAAGGATGAAAGTTATATGAAAAAAAAAAGATGTCATTTTAAACACTAATCATAAGCCAGTGTGTCTATTTTAGTCTCAGGAAAGGTAAACTTTAAGAGAAAAATATCATCATTGATAAAGATGGGTACTTCACAATGACAAAATGGTCAGGAACAAAGCCCAAAATTGTTTTTCTCTGTTTAGACTAATAAGATTGATAAATCTCTCTTTTTCTGCATATAATTTCGGAAGGTTTATGAACCTCATGAGTATTTATGGACCCCTATTTAACCTATTTTTAAATTCACATTATTTTAAAGTTCAGCAGTTTTCAAGTAGCAGATCCTCTCAATCCTTGACAACCATTTTTATTATCATTGACTTAATTCTTGCAAGTCATCTCACCTGGAACTTCACCTTCTGATTAATGTCGGAGATGCAGAACTGCTTCAGGAAGCGCTCGTCTTCACTCCAGAAGAGGCGGATATCAGGGATGTCATAGAGGATCATGGCCAGTCTTTCTAACCCGAGGCCAAAAGCCCAGCCGATTCGATCTTGAGCACCAGCTATAATTAGGAAAGAAAATAAAAGGGCTGTTTAGGGAAGTATGAAGATTGGGCAGGTACGCACTCCTCCCCATAATTGCCAGGAACCTTGCCTGAGGCCTATAGGCAGCAGCGCCCTGCAGAGCCGTGGTGGAAGGCACCCCATCTTACTTTTCCTTCCTCTTCATGTTCCTTACTGTCCTCATGAAAGCACTATGGAGCCACACTGACAATAGTATTTTCTTTCATTTCTGAATAAAGTTCAGGCTCTTTGAAACCCGCATTCTCACCTCTGAATCATGCTTTTTCTGTAGTCTTTACCTGCACTGATTTAAACATGTAGCCTTCTAGGTGTCAGTTACATAAGAGAACTGGCTACACATAGGGCCATATGTGCAAAACAGGCCACACTGGACTGTGAACATTCATAAAGTGTGTGTCAGGCCATCAAAATCTTCAACTTTATTAAAACACTATGTTTCCTGGTAGTAAGAGCTCCTCCAACCATGTGCAGAGGGCAAGGAAGCCATGGTGAAATGCCTATCTAGTGACAATTACCCCAAATGGTAGCAAGCGGGTCAGATTCTGTCACTACAGTGAATTCTAACAGTGCATTTCACATGTATGAATCAGAGTATAAGACAAAAGACAGGGCGGTCGAGTGTAAGAAAGGTGACAGGAGCAGTTCATACTTCTAAAAAAAGCTTGGAAAATGAGCTCATGAAATGAAAAAATTACAAACAGACATAAAGCAGGCTCCTGAGGCAGACTGAAGTGGCTCCCCGAGATTCCTACCTCTCATGCACAGCCCCATGGAAACCTCTTCCTTTGATTGTAACTGACCCATGAGAAGGACAGGGTCTCACCCCAGTCATTAGTTTGTCTTGTGTGACTTGTATGACTCTCTCCACCTTGGCAGATTGCAGAGAGATTTCCCCTGCTGGCTATGAGGAGATGAGTGGCCATGCTGTGAGGAAACATGTGCCCAGGACCTCGGGGAGTCCCTAAGGAGCTGAGAGGCACACGAAAGCCAGTGAGACACATGGGAACCCCACTCCCATAATCATGGAGAACACATCCTCCTCAGTCTGCTAGGCGAGAAGACCCAGAGCTTGAGAATACAGCCCTAACATTCTGACTACAATCTGGGGAGACCACACACTGGGGGACCACACCAGTCCACATCCAGAGTCCTGAAGCAAGGAAACGAATAGTATATTTGTGTTGTTTTAAGCCATTTATGAGATAATTTGTTCTTGCGGCAGGGAGAGGAGTGAAGAAAAAACAAATCAGATAAGAAACGTGGAGAAAGGTGACAGAAAATGGCAGAGTTCCAACCATAAAAGGCCAGGGTGCAGCCCAGGAAGGCTGAGGGGTGAAGAGACAGCGAGGGCAAGGCTGGCAGCTGACACTCTGAGGAGGGGACAGAGAGAAGCTGACGTGCTCTGGTTATTGCTGCCACCACCATCATTCACAAATGACAAGGATAAGAGAAATCAGAAAGAAATGTGAGCCTTGAAACAAAGGATTTGTTTCAAGGCTCAATGAATAAAAAGTATTCAAAATGCCACAAGAAAATGATACAGAGAGAGTAGGGCTCAGACAGAGGGAGAGTGAATATGAAGAGTGGCTGGCTACCTGTGTTCCCAGGACAAAGGATCATTCCAGAAGGGGGTCAGGGAAAGGGCTGTTTAACCAGAAGAATGCTGCAGCCAGAGTTCCTGACCAAGTGACCCCTGCCTAGAAAGAAGCTGATGGGGGAGGGAAAAATAGAGTAATTCATAGTGATGCCTAAAAACCTTAGAGAGGCTGATGACCAACTGAAGACACGAAAATTAACACAACACCCACATTTTATACCACTGGAAGAATTTTTTTGAGAAATGATATTCCTGAACCTGGTGAGGGATTTGGTTCCAGTATTCTCACTTGTTTCTGGTTATGCACTCTATTCTTTATAACCATTTGGAAAACAATGTAGCAACAGACACAAAGATCCACAAAAATGCTCACATATTTTATTCTAAGATTTTAGGGGGAGATTTATCCCTAGGAATTAACAAAAGCAGAAAGATAAATAAAGATATTTGGGGCAGTATTACTTATAAGAAGAAAAACAAGAAAACCATCTAAGTGTCCAAAATTAGAAAACTGCTTAAATATTACAGTACATTAAAATATTATTATATTAAAATACATAAAATAACTACATAGATGTTATTAAATCAGAGTATAAGAGAATATGAACACTTCTATGATAAAATAAATATTTACTATGATTACTACTTAATACAGGTACAAATGAGAGTCATAATATGAAAATTGAAGAATGTGATGCTCATGGGTCACTATGAGTAGTAATTCAAAAACAACTGCTTATTTTTAAAATTCACAAATATCTTTATGAGATATTTGTGATGCAGAACATGATGTTTTGATATAGATATATATTGTGGCATTACTAAAATGAATCAATTAACAATCATTGATTGCTTCATAAACTTTCTTGTGATGAAAACATTTAAAATCTAGTCTTGGCAATTTTCAAGTAGACAATACATAGTTATTAGCTAGAATTACCATGTTGTACAATAGATCTCGAGTTTATTCCTTTTACCTAACTGAAATTTTGTATCCTTCGACCAACAATTTCTAAAACATTTTCTGTACTAGTTAAAGTCTTTTCAAGTAAAAAATAAACAACAACAACAACAAAAAGAGGTGGGAGTATTAATGTTACTTTGCAATCGAAGCGTGTTTATTAAATCATTTACACTTCATCTTCAAATGTTAGACAAAACCAACCATCTAGAGACCACTATCTATAGCTGAATGAGCAGCAGATCTAGGGGATTTGGTTTTATTTCATATCCAGTAATTTGTTATCTGCTCTTTTCATGCACCACCCCTCACTTCTTTCCCCATTCCTCAAAGCAAAAATAAAAGTAGTGGAGATCTGTTAAAAGTAGGTTAAAAAAAAGAACAATAAATTTAAAAATGGGAAAAGAATATGAAGATATTCACAGACAAGGAAAGAAAAAGATGGTTCTTAAACAAATGAATACTTCAGTTAAGAAAAATGCAAGATACAATTGAATCAAGTTACCAGTTTTTACTTACCAGGGGGGCAAAAAATTTAAAAAAATGATCATACACTTGGTAGCAAAGCACTCTTATACACTGCTGGTAGGATGCATGTGGGTTTTAATTTTTTGACCCAAGGAATATAACATAGCACTAGTTATCAATATTCAAAATATATACTGTCACATATTACTTGAACTTCTAGAACAGATACTATTCATGAAAATTTGTGAATTCACAATGTGGTTTATTGAAATAGTGTTTATAATAGCAAAAGAGTGCACACAACCCAAATGTTTATTCATAGGAAATTGGTTAAATGAATAATGGAACGTTATTGTAACACCTTCTGAAGGATTTCAAATACTGTTTTTTATTTGGGGGTGGGTGGGAGAGAACAGGGCACATGAAGACAAAAGGTGGAAGGCTTTACAATATGTGGCTTTGTATATAAAAAGTAATGAGAAATTTTTCAGGTATATGTTGATTTTTCTTTTATCAGAAATGCTCTGGAACAAAAAGTATTTTGAATTTTGGAGTGTTCTGGATTTCTGATTAGGGATTCTAAACCTGTAATAGAAATCTTAATGACTAGATAAAATGTGGTGCTTTCTTTTCTGTTTATTCTTTTCCTAACACGTTTTAAAACAACAAATAATCCCTTTCATTGGTGTCAGGCTTCCAGGAAAGACTATGATTAATAAAAATGGTTCTGATGTTCCACTTATAGCCTGTTTGGGTGTTTCTCTCTACAGAAGAGCCAATGCATTCTAAGCCTGGAAAATTAATGCTGCTATTTGTGGGGGTTTCAAAAAACTCAAGCAAATTCCCCAATACCCCTCATCTTCAATCCTAGTGGGCTGAGATACTTCAATCAAGAGATAAGGGAGAAGAAATGTGATGTGACTTCTGAGATTACACGAAAAAAGTCATGCAACTACCTCCTGCTTTTTTTTTTTTTTTTTTTTAAATGATCGTGCTGTGACATTTCCTCTCAGTCAGGATTTTTCCCTCCAAAGATTCTCTTGGAACTCCACCACTAGTCTCTGAGAAAGCTCAGCAAGATGAAGAGGACTTGTGTAGGAGCTCACAAGGGGGAACCTAGCTTTCAAGTTCCCCCAGCACCATTAGCAGACATGTAAGAGAAGACTTAGGAGGATTCCAGCCCCAGTTGGGAACCACCCCGACTGTGTAAATCTCCCTAGATGAGGTTCTGGGCACTGTGGAGGAGAGACATGCCATCGTTATTGTGTGCTGTCTGAATTCATGACCAAGGAATAATTTTCCATAACAGTAAAGCTAAAACTACACTGTAGCCACAGGTTCTACTTTTCTTGGTCTGAAAATATTGCAAATAAAAAAGTAAAGTTTCAAACAGGAGAGAGATCAGGAGTTACAAGAAGCTTAAAATAAGATGAATACACTATATTATACCACCTCATTTGTGTCATAATATCCATTCGTCTCTCCAAAGGCCAGGTCGCCCACTATTATTCACAACATTGCTCAGCCTAGAAATCAAACCATCTTAAGTCAAGGCTACCCAATCCCCTGTCACCACATGAACCACTGCCCTTCATTTTATTTCTCCAGCTTGGTGAATGGATCATCACCCATCTAGTCACCCAAGGCAGCAGGCTGGAAGTGAAGTTTTACTTCACATACCACCTCATATCAGGCGAAGACTTTTAAATGATATCTCAGAAGTCTCTCAAAGGCCTCCCTTAATTTGAGTCCTACTGTCACTGTGGACGTGTCTTTAACAAAAGTCTTTCACTCAGTCCAAGGAGTTCACCCTGTCTCCTCATCCAGCCCATCTCTGAGAGTGCCACCAATTTGCTCCCTAAAGCATGAATCTCCACATTGCTTTAAGCAGATGTGTGTGGACTGTGGGTCAGAGAATGATCTCTCAGCAAGCCACATTTAGCATTTTGTTC